GATCGTGACTAATGACTATGAGGAAGACGAAACAGGCGAAGACGGTCTTGAGGAGAGATTTACGAAAACCGTAGCTGTTAGTTCATGGTAAGTTTAACAAAGCAGTCTAATATCAAAGCGTTTCTCGAATTATTTATTAGCGTGTTTCGTTTAACATGTGAATTGATTTTAGGTGCACATTTGAGATTCTTGAATGTATGGCCAAATTTACGTACGATGGAAAAGACGCTGAATGTATTATATAGCACTGGGGCTATCCTGTTATTACGCACCGAACGCTCGAACAGTATATTACCGCAAATCAACAAGCAGAACTCAAGACGGGCAAAATGAGTAAGTCAAATTAATTTCACTAAATTTTGGTCAGTTTTCATCAGTATTTTCTATATATATTCGCAATAATCGCAAATGGTTGTATTTTGTAAGATTTTGAAACGTGTATTTTAATCTATCTATTGCTTTGAAACAGTGCATTCGTGAAGGTAATAACTCAGTCTCAGTGTTCGATTGTTAATGTTTAGATACTTTGATACCTTCGTGCAGTGGCGTATATCGGTGGATAGTGAGATGCATGGATATTCGGCGTTATTCGCCATGCTCGGATGTGAAAACTCTAGACCGCTTCCAGCATGCCTGTATAATGAAATCTGGAAGAGGTATCCGTCTCAAAGCAACACTGGATATAAATAATCACAGCAGAGAACTGAGAACGTGATAAAAAGTGTACACTATGTTACGTAAACTGATATTGTAAATTATAAGTATAAATTAACCTAGTCAAATAAATGGTTCTTCACTCGGACTCTGTCGCGTGAGTATGATCGACTAAGAAGTATATATAGAGCGCTCCGGCCTCGGTGGTTAATACGCCTGTTGTGAAAACATAATTTCTTGACTGATAAGGCCAGAAAGGAATTAAATTAATTACGGCCCAGAATAGTATCATTTGACGCAGCTAGCACACAACCAGTGACTAAGGAATAAATTGCGCGCAAACAGTATATAGATACGGCACGTTTCAGCAAACGCAAATAGACGAAAGCATGACATACTTGAAGCGTAAACAAGCAACGAGCTTAACTGTGGTATGACGTGCGAACTGAGGTACTTTAGTACTTATATTCCTAATAGTTTATTGCGTTCTTGGTATACTCAACTTCAATTAATTTCATTTCGCCTATTCTGTCATAGTACGGACTGTATAAATTCTAGCTATATCCAACTATCTACAATGGACTATATACAACGAAAACATCTACAATATGCCACAACTAACGACATCTGAAACCTACACTGCTACAACAACATTGATTTCGCATTTCGGCGGCTTATATATAAGCGATAAATCGTCGTATGGTGATATCATTGCATTGATTTACCAATGTATCGCATCTACATAAGGCAGATTTATTTGGATTTTGTTTAAATTATCAAAAAATCCCAATTCAACGCAGTTGAAGCTACATTGTTTATAGTATTTACAGATAGGAAGAGTGCACTGTGTCACACTGCATACGTCATCATGACCTCTTGGCCGCGCGAGGATTTCATCAGCTAAAATTTTCGTAGCCCAACTTTAAACGCAAAATTCACAAACTTCTAGTTCGAAGTATTCAACAAGGTTGGTATTAAAATGATCAGAAAAGATGAAATTTTCAGATAATGCAAAAATCACAAAATTGAAATTTTCATTGCATATACACTTTAACCTAAAACTACTGCTCTGTATAGCTAGTATTTTGCATGTTATACTTTGATATTGACAAGCTTAACCTCGTGAAAAATACAAAAAGAGACGTTTCATGCGATCCTACGGTGTACCTATTCATGATCAGGAAGAAATTACCAATTTATTTAATGAATATTTTTCTGAGATTGGAGAGAAACTATCAGTGGAAAGTCTTTCTACAAATGTAAAATATGCCGACTACATAAAGCACAACGAGTGTACATTTGACTTTGTAGAAATTACTGAGGATGAAGTACTAACTGAATTAAAAAATTTAAAAGCCAACAAGGGCTCTGGACCAGACAATATATCTCCAAAATTTCTCAAAGATTCTAGTTATGTAATTTCTTCAACACTGACGAGTATTTTTAATCAGTTACTTAAAATGGAAAAATTTCCTGACGAATGGGCACTCGCTAGAGTTTCTCCAATCTTTAAGGCAGGATTAAAGACTGAACTTGGCAACTATAGACCGATATCTGTTCTCACAGCTGTATCTAAAGTATTCGAGAAAATAATATATAAACAAATCAGTAAATATTTCGATGACAATGAATTATTTACAAAATATCAATCAGGATTTAGGAAAGGTTATTCCACATCGACAGCACTGTTAAGTGTTACAAATGAATGGTTATGTAACATTGACAAAGGCCTAATAAATGGTGTATTATTTCTTGACTTAAAAAAGGCGTTTGATACTGTAAATCATGACATTCTTATTGAGAAATTAAAACTTTATGGCTTTCAAAAGCAATCTCTGTCATGGTTTGAATCCTACTTGAAAGATAGGAAACAGTTTTGTAAAATTAATCAAAGTCAGTCATCAATTAGGAACGTTCGATGTGGGATACCTCAAGGATCAAATCTTGGTCCACTCTTATTTCTGATTTATATTAATGATCTGCCAAACTGTCTTGATGAATCTATTCCAAGCATTTTTGCTGATGATACAAATATTTCCGTGAATGCTACTAATGTTGATCAAATTAGTGTGAAATTAAATAATGAAATTCAAAAAATACATACATGGTTAACGGCAAATAAATTAACACTAAATGCAACTAAAACTGAATTCATGATAATAGGATCCAAGCACAATCTTACTAAAGTTCAAACGGATCCAATTATCACAATTGGAAATAATAATATAAAACGCGTTTACAAAACAAAAAGTCTGGGAATCATTATAGATGACAAGCTAAACTGGAAAGAGAATATACATAGCATCTGTAAGAAAACTTCGGTATAGGAATGCTACGATTTTGCAAGTCTTTTGTTTCCCGAAATACTTTGAAAATGATTTATAATGCACTTATTTTACCTCATTTTGACTACTGCTCCCTTGTTTGGAGTAATTGTTCAGAAACATTAAAATTAAATTTACAAAAACTCCAAAACAGGCAAGGGTTATCACAGGTGATAATTATGATGTTCGATCAAAACAAATATTACTTAAGTTAGGCTGGAAAACACTGGATGAAAGGCGACAAAATCTCATGGAAAAATGTATGAGTAATGTTATGAATGATAATGGTCCGGAGATAATTGGTTGCCTTTTTGAAAAATGCAACAATTCTAATTATAAATTAAGAAGTAATGGCAAATTCCTAAGACTGTCAAAACCAAATACAAACTCTATGAAGAGAAGTTTTAGTTATATGGGAGCTAAGACCTGGAATCAGCATCTAAGCGATAAATTGTAATTATAGTTCCATTCTTTTATTTGTAAATATTACACGGCCCTATGAAAATCAATATCAACTGATAGGTTACCCTGTATAAATATAATTAAATACAATACAATACAATCCGTGTGAAAGTTAGTTTTATAGCGTCTAACGTCTAGCGCTGTCAAACGAAGGATCTTCGACTTCGCTCGACAGCCGAATGGTCGTTTTTGGGTTATTTTTCACACTAATTCAGAGAGTTAGGTCCTTGAAACTGAATCACTATGAATCAATTAGCCTTTCTCACGATGACGAATATCCGCCATTTTGGGGTGGCATCTAACTTCTCGATAACCAATGCAGACAATTAAAACAATGTGAAAAGCAATTTTTCAAAATAAACTAACCATTTACAAAGCAAATTTACCATCATTCGTCAAAAAAATTATAAAAAATCGCTGTTATGTGGACTTATCTCGCAGACTTCAGCTGAAAAGCCATCCAAAAATGGCGGCGTGAGAAAGGCTAATTAAGCTCTTGAATATTCGCGCTTCCTGCGCTGAAACTGAACCTATATACGTGATTCAAGTGTAGCTAACCGGATGATATTCAATATTTTAATACAAGATCATGCTGGCTGAAAAATAAAACTTCGCGCTTGATAAGGATTGCAACTACCTGAAAAATACAAGGAGAATTTCGAAGAGCCTTCGCTCGAAACGTCGAAATTATTCTTGTGTTTTTCACGTACCGAAGTTGATCCTTATCAATCGAAGTTTTGTTCTTTATATTCGCACTACCTATACGCTGGCACTGATATCTATAACTGACAAGAATTTCCTTTCGAGCGAAGGCCCTTCGATCGTCGCAATAATTTGCAGGGCAAGAATGGCCGCTTCACTCGAAACACTGAAGCCCTTGTTATCATTTTCAGGAATACAATGTCAACGATCCTCATTCCTGTAATTCCTCAGATATATTGCCCAAAACGCAATATATTAATTGAGCGGGTCTGAAGAGCCGTGGGAGCGAGCTCCTTTCATCTCTGAGATTGGACTTGTATTGCTTATGTAAAAAGAGTCGACGCTCTACCGAAAGTCGTGGGTTTTCACCAGGTGCTCCGGTTTACTCTCACAGGGTGGGTTGGGATTAGACCCTAACTGGCTCTTCCACCGTAGTTGTGTTCCGTGATCAGACATGAGTCATAAGGTGGCTGCCAGAGGCGCCCTTAGTAAGCCTTCCACACGATCAGGTTGAGCTGCGTCCTTCGCAATTCAGCTCTCAGCTGTAAGTAAGGATTATTAAAACCTCCCACTTAGACGGCTGGCCAAGTCATCATTTTGTACAACTGGATGGCAACTTTATGTTAGAAGCTGGTAACAGGCATTTTCTTATAGTTCAAGCCTTGGTGAACAAGACTATTTCTGATTTTTGCTTTATGGCCAAAAAATTGAGAATTTTTAAATTTTGCCTATTAAATTACTATGATCGGAAAATATGTAAAATCTCATGTTCTCTTATACGAAAAATAAACTACACCACTAGAAAGAGCGTAAAAAACTATATAGAAGACAATCAAGTGAGTTCTACGTTTTTCCAATCCTATTTCGAGTTTTGAATGCTAAAAAATGCAGAAATGACCAAATTAATGCTAATTAGTACCCACTTTAACCATCTTTAATTCAAAATCGGCTTGAAAATCGCACTAGTCGCTTAATTGTCTTATATATAGTTTTTTGCGATCTTTCTAGTGGTATAGTTTATTTTTTGTATAAGAGAACATGAAATTTTTCTCAAATTTTTGGCTATAAAGCAAAAATCAGAAGTGGTAACACACACAATCTTATTCACCAAGGCCTGAACTATAAGAAAATGCCTATTACCAGCTTCTAACATATAGTTGCCATCAAACTCTCTTTAGAGGCACTTTTTGCCATCTTGGCCGGCCGACTAACTTACTTCCAATCATTTTCAAAAGTCGTTGGGACACTTGCGGAGTTCAGTAGATCACCAGGGGTCGGTTGTTTAAACGTCTATTAGCTTTATAACCCTAGGTCAAGCTAAAGTACCAAGCAAACCGCCCAACAGTTTGTTGATAAATTTGAAAATACTTCTTCAGAAATCTTGTCTGGGTCACTAGAAGTTTTCTTCTCTGAAGTTCTGAAATAAACAGACGTGCAGAAATACATAAACTAAAGCATCAGGTTAAATTTTAACCGAGGATTAGCGCTAATCTAGCTTTGAACAACCGACCCCAGAGGATAAATGCAAATTATGCATTAATTTTATGAGACCCAACATCGTGCGGGGATACGGATTTCGGGCATCTGTTCCAACACATTTGAAAGTGGTTGTACGTAAGTCAAAGGTTGTCATTGAAAACAACACTATAGGCCTACATCACCAGCTAATGACTTAGCTCGGATTCACACAGGCAAGTCTTGCAATTTATGATTAAGACTACTCCTGATTTTTGAAAAATATGCCAAATTGCACGGGCCTCGGCGGCTCGTGCAATTTTGGCACATTTTTCAAAAATAACTCGTAGTGTTAATTATTAATTGCACTCCTTCCCGTGTGATTACCTATACAAATTTCATTTAATCAGTAATTTAATCAATAACTTCATTTTTAAAGGTAATTTTGGCTGTATTTCACAATCAAGAAATTAGATTAAGGACTAGATGAAGTTTTGCGTCAGCATTAATTTTCATACGTCAGAGTGACAAGCGTTGCCTTGACACCTGCTATTAGAGACCTTACGATTTTAGGACAGCCTCGAGGACAGCAACGGCTACCAATACAATAGATCATTGAAAAGAATTGAGTAATTACAATATATGAATAATTTAGACTTGTCCTCGCTCTGTTTACGACGCTAAATCACAGATTTTCACGTCTTGATACAGCGGCTGCATTTCAAGCCACAACAAGTGCAACTTCAAACTGGGTTTAGCAGAACTCTACCCAACCATAAAACCCATCTCTGCAACTTCTAAGACTGTATTAAATTCATACGATTGATAATATACGACGAACTATCTTTACTACCATTTATTTGAAGGAGTTTGTTTTGGCCGTCGTCGTCGCGTCGCCGTCCTAAAATCGTAAGGTCTCTATTAGTGAGCTGAAGCAAGAGACGTTCTTGTCATGACGGACGTCGCCCGAGAATTGCTAGAACTAATTTTGGCGGCATTTTCCACCATGGCGCTCGTGCAAAGAAGCAAGAAACTTTAAATACAAACACAGTTTTTAATTCCGTCTCCCCTCGGCATCTGACGTCTGTGTTGACATAAACTAGCGCTTGCAAAACTTGCATACAAGACCAATAGACCTTTCTCCTTTTAAGTGAAATTTTGATCTAGACAAGTCTGGACAAACATTTCATCATCAAGAGCATCGCAAAATTAGTAATATTCCAAAGTTTCGATCAAACTGATTATCAATTTCCCGTTTGTAAATTACAAAATGACTGAAAAACGGCAAACTTCGCAAGGCTGTATTATCCGCATTTTACAACATTTCGCAACGAAACTTCGGAATATTACTAATTTTGTGATGCTCTTTCAAGCTGTGATGAAATTCTTGTCCAGACTTGTCTAGATCAAAATTTCACTTAAAAGGGGAAAGGTCTATTCCAATCTAAATTAACCCTTAGCGGCTGCTTCCAGTGTTTGTACAGTGTATCTCGCGATCTTAGGTGCGATATTCTTCTGCTGGATGTTAACGAGAGGATGAGTTTATATGAGTGTTCATACTCAGAGCATTCAGAACTTACCAGAAGAAAATTTGCACCATAGATATCGAAGTGTTGACCCGTGTACTGACCTATGCTTTTCACCTCGATATAGACAACTAAACTATTACGAAAAAAATATCAACTTAAAAATTTTGCCCTAATTTTATTCCATATCTTTGACTTTTTCAAGATAGATTTGTTCAGAATTTTGTACTCTTTCAAATTCTCCGCTGGATATGTAAAATATACACTGTACTTTTGTTTGTATAGTATAATGCCATGGAGATGTACATATTGGTCGAGTGTCGAGGTCCTCGACATTTTACCCTCGCCCCAGTTGACCCCAAAAATCCCAACCAAAATACTTTAATTACGTCTTAAAAATTGAGTGTATACATGCTCACTTGGATTATCCACCAAATCCAGAATCCAAGTTCAACCAAGTGAAGTGCAATACCATGCTTTCAAATCCATCTTTAATATAAGCAGTAGTACCCTCGACACTCGAGTGATAAATAAACTCAATGCTGTCATCATTTGTAACTTGATATGTAATAAACTCTTAAACACACAACGCCTACATGTCAGTTCGGTAACTAAGTTGCGTAGTTTGGTTGCAGATATTTTACTCTTCCGAAAGTAGTTCCGACTAAATTGGATTTCAAACCATGGGCACATCACAAATGGCAATCGATGATGGTATTCCCGAAAAGACATCAAATAAAAAGCTTATATTAATTGGCGTTGCTGTTGTGGCTCTCGTTGTTATTGTTGGCGTCTTAGCTGGAGTTTTGAGCGCAAACAGGGAGAAAGATAATTGCGACGAGCGTGTAAAAAAAGCCGTTCTCGCAGCCAAAGCCGAGGGGGAAAGCGAAAGCACTACTACTAGTTCCACAATGGGGCCAACTACAGGATCGATTCGCACAACCATGGGGGCAACAACTCCATCCATCTTAGAACCATGGGAAAAAATCAGGTTGCCGACCGACATTGAACCTATACACTATGACATGCTCATACGAGTCTACTTGGAAACTCTGAGCTTCTCTGGAAATTCAAATATCTCTATTGATGTAACAAGTCAAACGGACACAATTCTGTTTCATATAAATAAGATTAATATCACTAGCGTCGAAGTTGTCGACTCCAGTGACAAGATATTACCTATCAACAAACAATTTAATTCCATGAAAAGACAGTTCTATGTGGTGATTTTAGATGCGAAAATGGCTGTTGGTCAGTATGTGTTAAGGTTAAAATTCGTTGCTAATATCGAACAGGAAGAATTGAACGGACTATACAAAAGTACATATAAAAACAGCGCTGGTAAAACAAGGTAAGCTACAGCTAACAGCTCTTCCTTTCTACGGGTAAGCGATAATCCGGCCCTTTTGTGCTACGATTTCTAGTGCGATATTCTCTTCTAATCTAGAGGCACTGTCATCAGTGTCATGTATTTTCTTTGTGAAACCGCCGCATTACAGGTCTATAATCTGTTCATCTGATCGTTCACATCCAGAAGGCAAAAATCGCACCTAATAAATCGTCGCACAAATTGGCATTTACACAGAATATTCAGGATGTGCTAGTCGCATACTTTATATCCCGGAGGTACACCAATACTGCGGTCCGGTACTTCTTTGTTTGAAGTCGATCTGCGCACTTAAATTTTACTTTATACCCACACTTGACCATATATGACCAGCAAAGAAACTCTCCGAGTATAATTCAAAAACCTAATTATAAGAAAACCGTAATTATATAAGAATATAGCTGTTGAATTTGGCTATTGAAATATATGAGAGAACTGCCGGAGTCTGAGGGGACTATCAGCAATCGTGAAGCCAGCTGTCTGCGTTTCGCATTGCCATTGTGTATTCAAATTGTGCGTTCTCTTCGTTGTTGTAACTCGTATTTTCAGGTTTCTGAATGAATACCTTTTAGAATACTTTGCGGTTTTATGCACTTTATCTGATTATAACTGCACATTAAGGGCCATTTATACGAGACGAAATAAGACGCGACTTACATAAGACGCGACTTAAATAAGCGGAGTTATCGCATAAATGATTCTCTAGGGCTTTATTCTTATTTACTTGCCATAGCTATAATGTTGTTTTGGTTGTTTTTTTTTTTAATATGCAAGGCTAGTAATTTTACGTTGTTTCAAGTTTCTGGCATGTGTAGTGTTTAGTTAAAAGGCCTGTTCTTTTTGTACTAAAATTTCTTATTTAAGTCGCGTCTTATGTAAGTCGCGTCTTATTTTGTTCCGTATAAATGGCCCTATCGAGTCTTACGTTTTTATGTACGTGGTGTGAGTGAGGTATACGACTAAAGCTGTTTTCATCTTCGATCCTGCGATTCCGGTGTAGCGCTCTAACCAACTGAGCTACAGAGTCCTGTTGTCCAGAGCTCTATTAACCGGACGTTCATGAATATATAATAAAGGTGATGCCAATATATGTAATGTTTATTGCCCAAAATCCTGTTTTCAAACTTCAATCGTTTAATTATCGTTACGTACGTCAATTGATTCCGGCTTTTCATTATGCATAGTAATTATACAGTCTAATTTCAGCTGCAGTGCTGGAAGTTGACACGCTGTCGACCAGCAGCTGCTGGCCAGTCTTCTGAAGCTTTACTGAAGCTCATCTACAAAGCGCTATTAAATTAAATATCTCCGCCAAACTCTGAAATCAGCATGATGAAATTCGCCGCGGGTTCACTTCCTGCCAGGGACCTTAGTTCATAAAGTTTCATTTTTCGCTTCTGTTCGTGGTTAGGTCTAATAAATGTATATATAAATTTCCACTCGACAATGGACCATTTGCATTATAGACTAAATTTTGGTCTATACAAAAATTTCATCACAACTTGTAAGAGCATCACAAAATTAGTAATATACCAAAGTTTCGTTGCGAAATGTTGTAAAATGCGGATAATATGGCATTGCGAAATTTGCAATTTTCAGTCATTTTGTATTAATACAAACGGGAAATTGATGCCCCAACACCCGATTGGGCTGTCAATTTACCGTGCGTAATACAAAATGACTGAAAAACGGCAAACTTCGCAAGGCTATATATTATCCGCATTTTACAACATTTCGCAACGAAACTTTGGAATATTACTAATTTTGTGATGCTTTTTCAAGCTGTGATGAAATTTTTGTCTAGACTTGTCTAGATCAAAATTTAGTCTATAATGCAAATGGTCCAATAATACCCATCAAATATCATTCCTTCCAGTGAGATGCCACAAAAATCTTGATTTTGATTTAGGACAGTTTATTCCCTTTAATACCGCTCTACACTCTACAGTTTCATTTTCGTATTCAGATTTTTGAATCTGAAACGGGGTTAATTGACCATTTGCGTAATAGACTAAATTTTGATCTCAACAAAAATTTCATTACAGCTTGAAAGAGCATCACAAAATTAGTAATATTCCAAAGTTTCGTTGCAAAATGTTGTAAAATGCTGAAAATATAGCCTTGCGAAGTTTCCAATTTTCAGTCATTTTAGATTACAAACCGGAAATAGACAGCCTCGAAGGGTTTGAGGCTGTCAATTTCCCGTTTGTAATCTAAAATGACTGAAAATTGCAAATTTCGCAAGGCTATAGTATCCGCATTTTACAACATTTTGCAACGAAACTTTGGAATATTACTAATTTTGTGATGCTCCTTCAAGCTGTGATGACATTTTTGTCTAGACTTGTTTAGTTCAAAATTTAGTCTGTTACGCAAATGGTCAATTGTCGTGTACAAAATGTGGAATTGCTTAGTCTCTTTTCAGGGAATAAACGTAATCATCAAGGGCATCCATCTTCAGACTATTGAGCATTTGACAAAACCATATTTTAATTTTTAGCTCATAATGTGAAGTCAGGAAAAATCGCAAAAACTACACGACCATGCAACGTGTGAATTCTTTCTGCGTCGTGTTTGCTTTGACCTGTCGATGTGTTTCGCAAAATACACGTAGTTCCCTAATTTCTGAATTCAATTTTCAAAGTTTCATGTTGTCTGCACATGTGTTTCTTTTGGAGACGCCATTGGCCTTCTGACAAATCGGAAAATGATCAAGATAGTCACTCGGATTGATTTACATCGGATTGTATAGACATTACTGTTGCCATGGCTTTTTAGTCTTCAATATTTGAGTCACGCTTTGGAAATGGGAAAATAAAATTTTATTACCCAAACCCATAGCCCAAGCCTTGAGTTGTTTTGTTTTTTACTTCCCCAACCTTTTACTCACTCAAAATGTTTTTGTGTACCCAACCCTTTACTCTTTAATAGGTGCCACCATTCGCCCATAGTAATGAACGGTGTTTCAGGCTTTCAGCCCTTAGGGATGGCGGCTGAGGGATGACGGTATCTGCACGTGCATCTGAAAAGATACCGTATATCATATCGGCAAGGTCACCGGATCACGTTTGACCTCTGCAGTATGACGTCAGAGAACGTAAATGTTACGTCAGTAAGAATTTTCTATGGTATAGATATTTACTTCGCTATAAATTTCAAAATGGCGGCAAATATCACGTACCACGTGAGAATAGGCTTTTCTCGATTGTGCTAGCATATTTTTTAGCATAATTTGGGTAAACAAGCATAATTTTGCATTTTTTTAGAAAAAAGCACTGCTAGCATAATCTGCAGACAATTGCCAGACATGTCTAAGTTTCAGAGCAAAATGCTAAAGATGTGAAAATTTTTTTAGTTTTCTTTATACTTGTTCTTTAGAATTTTGTCCAAACACTTGCAGGAAGTGATTGTTAAACAACACTACGCTGACTACTGTAGTTAGTAAGGTAATCACCTTAATATGAGACCCAGTCCACACTCCACATTTCCCCATTACTCAATATCCAAGATGGCGTCAGCCTCTCAGGAAAATATAAACTTACAGGTTGCACAAGGAAGGCAACAGGAAAATAGTGATAATAATAGTGCAAACAGGCCACCAGATTCAAACAAGAATAAATACAAGAGCCGGGGAGCTTCTGACGTGAAGAAAATTTGTTTACGAGATCGAGTAAATCAATTTCCAAATCAATTTCCAAATCTGGGCAACAGATTTTGTGGACGATGATAGAGCCATATGAATAGACTATTATGTTGAGTTCAGGAGAAAAGACTATTAAAAGTTACAAGATTTACTTTTTATAACAAAATACGTTGATTTTTCCACTTTTGTAGCATATTTTTGAATAGCATAATATAATAAAAAACAAGCATAATTTTTTAAAACTGGTATAATTCGAGCATAATTTAGACATTAAACCAGAACTGCTAGTAGCATATTATGCTACTTTTACTAGCACAATCGAGAAAAGCCTACGTGAGAACGACACGTACTTTTATTGGCTACTATATATTCACAGCTGAGCTTAGGGGCGGACCATTAGAAAAGTGATGAATAAAAATCGAGCAAGGGAAACAGAAAGAAAAAAAATTCGTGCACCAAAATAGTTTGAAAAAATAAATTCGTGCCCAAATTTGAAGCAAAATCCGCCGACCGACAATGGTCTTATTTAAATTTGGATCCACTAAAAGCTCTACTATATGAAGTCACAATCCAGGATGCGAGCTAAATCCGCAATTTGAGCAAAAATATTAGATATATCCGCAATCCGCTGTACTACTAAGATCCGCAAATCCGCTGTACTACTAAGATCCGCAAATCCGTGTAAAATATTCGCCAGATCCAAAATCCGAACAATTTTTTCGGTGAAATTCGACGTTCCAAAAACCTATTCACCCGCTCCAATAATATATGAAATCTTATTGAATTAAATATTGACTCTTCTATAAACTTTTATTGGGAAAACATAAACTGAGTCCGCATTATTAAACAACGAAGAGAAGTAAAATTCCCGCTCGTATATGCAGGTATGCTTCAGCACGCGAAAATTCCGACGAAATAACAAGGTTCCAATTTTCCGACGGGTCTCAACAATAGGGGGGGGGGACAAAGTTTCAATTTTCTGACGGGTCTCAACAATAGGGGTGGGCATGCCCCCCCCCCGGCCACGGGGCCACTGTATCGGTGTCAGATTCCACAGCAAATACACGTGCGCACTAGCCTGCCTTTCGAGGGAAAAGGGGAAAAGTTAGTCTTCTCCTTTCCCCCTCGAAAAGTCAGGCTATAGTGCGCACACGAGAGCTTTTAGTTTAAGCTGTTGCCAAATGTTGTGATTAACTCGGCCAAAAGCTCTCGTCAGCGGCACACTTTAGTTTGTGGGTCGGTTGTACGAGAGCCGATTAGCTTAATAACCCTGTAGGTTAACCTAAAATTCAAGGCAAACTTTTTAACAGCTTGTTTATAAATTTGAGTTTGAGTTTTGAAATAACCAGATGTGCAGAAATATATAAACTAAAACAGCAGGTTAAATTTTAACCGAGGTTTAGCGCAAATCCAGCTTTGAAAAACCGGCCCTCCAATTTTATGTCCGGTAAGATGTCATTCACTGTGTATCGTAAGGCCCTGTGTGCTTGATGTCCAGTTAAAAACGCACAAGTTGTTACAGGTCTGCAAACAAGTTGTTACAAATCTGTTCACAAGCTGTCGACAAGTTGTGTTCGCACTGCTTGTTCCCAGTTGTTGTAACAAGTTTGAAACAAGCTTTTGACAACTTATAACTTGGCATTATCAGACCTGTTACAAGGTTGTTCTAACAAGTTTGACGCAGTCATGATGTAACAAGAATGTTACAAAGTTGAAGACACAAGATTGTAACTATTGTTATATAATGACTGTGTCGGACTTGTTGGAACAACCTTGCAAAAAGTCTGATATATCAACAAGCTTGTTACAACTGTTAAACAAGTTGTTCTTTTCTTGTTCGCAATTTTTTGAACAAGCAGTGCGAACACAACTTGTTGACGGCTTGTCGACGAAACATCGCCAACGGCCAACATTTATCAAGATGTTATTTTTCAGACTTTGTTTTCTATTATGTATAGCTTTTCTATTTTTAGGGGGATAAGCCCCCTGCGCAAAATGCTTGGGCAAGCTCCCCTCCACCCCCACAGTTCCTAAGCCAGTGAGTGTTCCTGTACTGGGAAACTTAAACTCTAGTCGATCCCCATTTGCAGAGTTAAGAAACATGTTCAATTAACCTCTGCGCCATCAGCCCGGCTGACAGAATGCAAGAAACAGAAGCATAGTTTCTTTTAACTTTGAAAATGTTTTGCACTTTATAGGGTGCTAGCAGCCACAGATTTCCAGCCTACCGATGCACGCAAAGCGTTCCCTTGCTTCGACGAGCCGGCATTGAAAGCGACTTTTACTATCAGTATCGAGCATCGCAGTGACTATACGGCGCTGTCCAACATGAACGCCTTAGAGACAGTGAATATGTCGAACAACAGAAGCATAACGCGTTTTGCAAAGTCAGTTCGAATGCCGACATATCTGGTGGGAATGATCATCTCGGATTTTAAGCATTTGAATGATACAACTGGTATACATAAGAATATCACAGTAAGTTCATTGAGTATGTGCATGGTGACAGAGTGCCGTAAACCTTCCAATATAAAACCCTTCCCCCAATATAAGCCCCACCATGTATAAGCCCACCATATTCACTAACGCTCAGGCCATTCTGAATATAAGCCCCCCTCTCCAAAAAAAATAAGCCTCTCCATGTTAAGTATAAGCCCATGCATGAGATTGGTATTGGACAGGTATTTGTTAATGAAGCTTTGTTAACATCGCATGTATTTGTTAACATTTGGTCAGGTATTTGTTAACATCGCATGTTTTTGTCAAATTATTTCTGGGCAGTACTATAAGCTCACTTCGCCTCATATTTTATTTCTAGATTCGCACTTGGGGTACGCCAGTAGAATATCAAGATTCAGCTTATGCACTGAAGATTGGCAAAAACGTGACCACATTTTTTGAAAAGTATTACGGTGTACTATTTCCATTGCCGAAACAAGGTATTTATATATTTATTGTATTCCCATTGAACATTTGAACTCGTTCCCATTACAAAAATTGGTAAAAGTTACACATAAAAAATGCAGCTAGTTACCGTTGCAAAATTACTTCACGATAATTTTGTAACTAGTTTCTTTTCGAATAATACGGGTGATATTATTTCCCCAAGGCCAAGGTTGGAAAGAAATACCGAAAAATAAACAATGTATATACAAAAACTAAATGACGAAAAACTCGTGATTAATTAAACATCGAAATTCATTAAAAAAAACTTATTACTTATATGATCAGACATAACTTTAACACTGCTACATTGGATTTTTTTGTTCTTTGCCACATTTAGTAAAACGAGTGAATTTTAAGAAAATTCATCAAATTTTTCTGTGGTATAAAAACTGGTTTAAAGAATCGTTTGTTATGCATTCGAATACTTGATTGTTTTAGATATGGTGGCAGTGCCAGACTTCAATTCTGGAGCAATGGAAAACTGGGGCATAATCACGTACAGAGAGAGTGCTTTTTTCTATAAACAAGGAGTGTCCTCTGAAACGAACAAACAAAGGATTGCTTTAATTGTGGCCCATGAACTGGCACATATGGTATGTACATAAGTCTTCAGACGTACAAAATGTTATGCTGCAGTTTTCTTAATTAAGGCAATTGACCTAGGGTTAGGATTTGAGATTGGTAGATAGGATTAGGATTAGTTTGGGATTGGTGTTAAGCTTGGAGTTTGTTTTAGGTTAGTGTTAGGATTTATTAGTTTAGGATTGATGTTTTGATTAGTTTAGGGTTGGTGTTAAGTTTTGGATTAGCTTTAGGATTAGTGTAATGATTACTTTGGGATTAGGTTTAGGGTTAGTGTTAAGATTAGTTTAGGATTGATGTTTTGATTACTCGAGAATTAGTCATAGGATTAGGTTTAAATTAGTCTCAGGATTAGGTTTAGGATTAGACTTTAGATTAGGTTAAAGTTAGTATTATGATTAGTGTTATGGTTAGTGTTATGATTAGTTTAGGTGAAGTTTAGAATTAGTGTTAGGATTAGTGTTATGATTTGTTTAGAATTAGTGTTAGGTATAGTTTAGAATTAGTGTTAGGATTAGATTAAGATTAGTTTAGGATTAGTGTTATTATTAGTTTAGGATTGATGTTATTAGGTTTAGGATTAGGTTTGGGATTAGTTTTAGGATTAGTTGAGGATTGGAGTTAGGTCTGGAATAGTTTAAACGTAAGAAATCGGACAAATCTCTGCATTTAAATTGTGGTTGTGATGAAGCGTGCCCGTATCTTTAGTGGTTTGGTAACTTGGTCTCGTGCAAATGGTGGAATGATATTTGGTTAAACGAAGGATTTGCAAGTTATGTTGAATATCTGGGTACTCACAATGCGGAGCCTGACTGGGAGTTTGTAAGTATTAGGACATTCATATTTTGGGGGTTTTTTTTTCGTTCAAACCGGCAAACCGCAAAGCACCACGTGACTATCTCTAGCGGTTGCGTTTGCCGAAAATATTTAACGTTTTTGATGGCTGGGGCGATTTTTCCTGTATGTCAATTCCCGCAAGCTTTTATTCATTTATCTCATCTTAAGTCTTTGTTACACGCGCTCAAAACTATACTGTGAATACACTGTTTCACTCGGTTATGATTACATTCAAAATTTTATTTTTCGATACGTTTCTCAAGTGGCAAACAAACTTTTAAGTTTTACTTTTTAAAAAAAGTATATTCACGTCATAGTGCTTTAGCTGTAAAATTGTGCTAAAATGAAGTGATTTTAGATGGTTTACGCCAAAGAGAACTAAATTATGTCTGAGTTCAGTAAGTTTTGCTTATATTGCTCTATAAATATGGCGTCGATTATACAGCATCGATGATAATTGTTTCTAAATGGACAATATTTAGGGTTTAAGGCAATAAGAATTTTGAGTCAGGGGTACTTCAATGCTATGATTTTTGTTATATAGATGGAACAGTTTTTGATAAATGATCTCCATCGAGCGTTCAGACTTGACGCTCTCGCGTCATCACATCCAATAACAGTTGAGGTCGAAGATCCCGAGGAAATAAAAACTGTTTTTGACGCCATCACATATAGCAAGGTTTGTAGAATATCGTGTTGTATATATAGTAGAGCAAATATGACTGTACACATTTTGGCCCAAAAGGTTCACTTTCTGTTATAAACCGGTAAGTTCACCATGAAGATACTCAGTCAATGTGCTTAGAGACTGGTCATTATTTATAGCGGGGTGCATGCCGAAGAGAAATATTTTTCTTGGTAAAAATGTTGCTCACCCAATCATTACAGGTAAACTGCGTGAAGCGTTCTTCTTTTGAGTTTCTAAATTGATTGCAATTTTCCTCAATACTATAGTATTGCAATGTAAAAAACTCCCTTGCAAATCCCTTGAGGAAATTTGCAATGTTGCTAAAAGCCAATTAAATTTTCCACAGTTCCTGTTAGAAGTTCTTAACTTCCTGTTACAAATTCCTAACTTCCTGTTCTGTTCTGGGCGTTGCAATTGGCTAACAAAAATAATCGACCAATAACAACGCTCAGAAAAGAACAGGAAGTTAGGAAATTAAAACAGGAAGTTAGGAAAATTTAAAATGAAGTTTGTTTGCATTGGAATATTGCAAGGAGTTTTTCAAATTTGCAAAGCTAATGAGGAAAATTCCAAATGAGTTACGAAGTCAAAAGAGGAACGCTTCACGTAGTTTACCTTTAAAAAAGTAAAATATTTGATTACCCAACCTCCAATATCAATTATCCACCCCTGGCCAAAAACTTTACAAAATTATACCATTCAGTTGTCACACGTGTCCTTTGCCACTTCTGTGACATGAGTTTGATAACTGCTTGTGCAATTTTCTGCAGTCTAAAGTTTCATGTTGTCTGCACATGTACTTTTTTGGAGACACCGGCCACTTGCCTCCTGGCAATCGGAAAATGATGAAGATGGTGACTTTAATTGATTTACATATTGTATTGACATATGACTGTTGACATTGCTTATTAGTCTTCAATATTTGAGTGAGTTATGCTTTGGAAATGACAATGATTTTTTATTATCCAACCCTTGAGTTGTTTTGTTTTTCATTTACCCAACCTTTTGCTCACTTAAAATTTTGTTTACCCAACCCTTTTCTCTTCGGTGCCACTCCCGCCATGAATAATGACCGCTCCCTAATTTTTATTATCTGTATATTTATATTTGACGACTAAGTCATCTCAGACATTAGAGTAGTCTCATACGTCTTCTGATATAAATGTTTCTTTGCCTCTAGGGTTCGTCAATTATTAGAATGTTGTCAGATTTCTTGACTGAAAAAATATTCAAGGAAGGTCTCAAGGTATGTGCAGTTATTTTATTAATTCTTTTTATTATGTTTGGCAAGGCGATCCATCTGCAAAATGCAGAATTTTGATTGGTTCCTGAGAGGTCGATACCCAGCTGCAGTACGGAGTGCCACTGATTTCATGGTATGTATCGCTAATGTGGACCGCTCGCAAAGAAAATTATAAATAACTCTTGTCCAACAAATGTCAACTGTTTTCGGAATGTCCGTTGTTTGGTATTTTTTAAAATTGTCCAGAAGGAGCTCGACCTTTGAATTTACTATATGAGGAAATTGTTAATTTGAATTCGTCCGAAATTATATCAATGCAATAAATTCGCACAACTTATTGGGATAGATGAACCTAACCCTAATCTAAGATGGTTGTCCAATACTGTCGAACGTACCCGGATCGTAAAGATGGTAAAACATTGAACACAATCCGTACGGATCGTACGGTCCGTACGAACTGTAGAATGGCTTTACGGACCGTACAAACCGTACGGTTCGTGAAAATGATTTACGGTTCGTGAACATGCTTTGTCGATGGTGATGTTGTGTTTAAGTCAGGCCAGAAAAGTTTGTCGATCCGCTTTATCTTTGTCAAAAATTGTTCACAGAATTTAAATCCTGCGTTTTTACTGTAAATGTTCAAACAGTTTTTTTGTCAACAACTTCAATTATAAACATTGTTTTTTCGAAGAATGCTCGAGAAAAAACACCTATCCATCCGATACCGAAGAGAAATATTTTTCTTGGTAAAAAATTTGCTGATTCAACCATTAAAAAGTCAAAACATTTCGATTTAAAACCTTGATAGCTCAGTTAATACCGCATGAAATTCGTATTGTAATATATCAGAATTTAAGTTAGTCTTTTCTGGATACGATAACATTTATTTGAACAGAAGAGCTGTTTTATAGTTTTCCAGCTATATTAATTCAAACAGGGTAATATTTTTGGGGGACACCTGGCATGAAGTGTCAGCATTTCTGAAATTGATCACATACCAACTAAAACCCATCAGTACCGGTCTTCATGCATACATGAATATGAATTATGATATATAGCAATCGCGTCGTCTTCGGAAACTTAAGCATGTTTATAGAGGGACCTAAAGGGGGGAGGGTCGTATTCCCATTTCCCAGCCCAAATTTTGACTAAATCCCATTGTCCCAGAGCACAAATCCCCATCATCTCAGTGGCTGTCCTGCTCAAATCTTAATCCCATTCCCATTTTCTATTGTTTTTTTGTTGTTGATGAATCCCAGTTCCAGTGCATGAAATCCTATTTTCCCACCCAAAAATAAGCAAATCCCAGTTCCCATTTTACCCCTTCAGGACCCTCTTTATAAAATGTACAAATATTTGTAACACTTTAGGACTATCTCGAGAAGTACAAGTTTGGCAACGCTGAAACCAAAGATTTATGGGCGGCACTAAGCCTAGTAAGTAATTATATCTTTTACTATTAACCTTTATGTTGTAATATGTTTTATTCCAATACAACAATTAATTATTATAATTTATTCTAAACCCGGAGAGAACGTACTCCATCCATGGCAAGCTAGGAAACACTGTCGCGTAAACATTTTCCCTCTTAAATCTTTTACCGATTTTCCTTCCCAGAAAGCGAAAATGCTTTCCTTAAATACAAAACATATTTCGCTTGTCAAGTGTGATTTTTGTTGTGTCCTAATTTACACACACCTTTGGCAAACATGAGTAAGTAAGCAAATGTGCTAATCACCCTTACTTGCAGATGAGAGCTCAGCTGAATTGACCACTTGCGTAATAGACAAAATTTCGATCTAAACAAGTCTAGACAAAAATTTCATCACAGCTTGAAAGAGCATCACAAAATTAGTAATATTCCAAAGTTTCGTTGCGAAATGTTGTAAAATGCAGATAATATATCCTTGCGAAGTTTGCCGTTTTTCAGTCATTTTGCATTACGCGGGGGAAATTGACAGACCAATAAATACCCTTTGGGGCTGTCAATTTCCCGTTTGTAATACAAAATGACTGAAAAACGGCAAACTTCGCAAGGCTATATTATCCGCATTTTACAACATTTCGCAATGAAACTTTGGAATATTACTAATTTTGTGATGCTCTTTCAAGCTGTTATGAAATTTTTGTCTAGACTTGTTGAGATCAAAATTTTGTCTGTTACGCAAGTGATCAATTGCGAAAGACGCAACTCAAGCTGATCAAGTCGAAAGCTTTCTAAGGCACATGTCTCATCACAGAGTACAGCTACGTTGGAAGGTTCAGTTTGGGGCTAGAAAACAGTGTTTCTCCAACAATGCTTCCTTGGTTGCCCATCTTCGGGAAGCATGGCTAGAATACCTTACATGCACCAGGGCTTTTTGTAACTATTTACAGGGGAGCAACCCTCCCACCCGATCAACCAATTTGGCTGGGGGTCATTGTCCCTTTTCTCTAAAATTATAAGCAAAACATTGGAAGAAAAACGGAATTTAGAAGGGAAGTTTGACATTCTAGTAACTGAAATTTGCTTTGTGGATCTTATGTCATGTCTTTTATCTTCAAATGTGATTCAATATCTTTTTAAAAATGTTCAACATTGTATTGTAAATACCTTAGATTTTAAAAATTTCCCTGTGGATTGTATGTCCCAGACTCAATAAATTTGTGTTGTTGGAACGCTAGGCTAAACAAGTTATACCTGGATTCCAGAGCCTTCAGTATTAAATAATAAATTGAAACGTCGCGAAGGGTCTGGTTCAACGGGAAGATTCTTTGATTAAACCGCGCCAATCACAAAACGGAATTAGTGGTTTTAGTACAGAATTAGTGGTTTTAGTACAGAATCTGTACTAAAACCACTAATTCCGTTTTGTGATTGGCGCGGTTTAATCAAAGAATCCTCCAGCCTTCGCGACGTTTTAATTTATTATTTACTGAAGGCTCTGAAATCCAGGGTAAACAAGTTAGTGACCGAGTTGTGGTATTTACATGAAAATGAAACTGAAGATTCAGTCAATTTACAGTATAATGTAACACTGCATATCCAAACATCTGTTTCAGAAAACGCACGAAATGCAGTCACCCCCACTTACATACGACACCAACAACCATCAGTCATCTCTCCATACTCAGTATAGTATGGTCCCTTTTTGTAAGTGCCCCCACCCCTCCCACTCATGACGAATTCTTAAAAAAGAGCCTGCCTTACATAATTTCTTGCAGAGATCTGGTAAGAATGTCACCAAATTGATGGAAACGTGGACGGAACAGATGGGTTATCCCGTGGTAAATATTACCAGAGATGGATTAGGCAAAGGCAAAGCTGATCAAAAACATTTCCTTCTTGATCCAAAGGCTAATGTCACCGAGCACTCAGACTTTAAGTAAGTAACAATTGTATGAGTGTTAGCAGAGTAGTCACTTCGAAACATCCAAGACAGTCTTGTTAATCATTTTCAGGAAGTACAAACACAAATCGCAAGCCACGGAGATTATTAGCAGATTATTTTCTAGTTTAACCGAGTGTTGTATTTTTCGCAACGGCTTCTGGTTAGGTCATAAATTGTGTATACAGTCAATTCAATTAAGGTTGTCCTTTCAAAAATTTAAACCTTAAACCCTGAGCGCGCGAGGGATGACGGGTTATTGCTTATTTACACTCATAAACTTTGAAATTTGGCTTTGCAAGAATACCTAAGACATATAGAAGACTCACGACAGAAAACATACTTGTTGCAAAGGCAATTTTCTGAATTTAAGGGCCTAATAGATGAAAACCCATCATCCCTTGCGCGCTCAGAGTTTAAGGTTTAAGGTTTGAGGTTTTGAAAGGACAGCCTTAATTGAATCAGCTGCATATACTGTATGTTCAATAGACCTTATGCATAATGACGTCACAAGGACTGATGCCCGCGAGGAATGCTGGTCTTAGCAGTCATCGCCCGGGAAACTTTCGATAATGGCCATTTTGAATTGTTTAATTTAGGCTACAGGATACAGCTAAACAGGAAACCGACTTAAATTTTAAACCTTGGCCATTATCAGCGCGATAGCGGATTACAAGCAAAACAACAAAAACTTCGAGCCTGTGTCAAGAAACCGTCAGTCGATGACAGCCAATGAGATTGCATGTGTATTCGTCATATGAAAATGCTGCTTACAAGCATCCAACATTGTGCCATCAAAACATTGAACAAATTGATGGAAATTTTTCGTTTTAGAAATTTATTTCGCAAAAATGTTGTAAGAATGTAGTAAAACTATCGCAGATTCAAGTTTTGTTATTATTTTAGCGTAGTTGTTAAAATATTAGAGTATTTTTCTATAGTTTTATGGTTTACCGATGTAAATTTAGTTTAATTTAATTACCAACCTTAACCGCAACCATAACTAGAGAAAATGCATTGTTATCTAACCATTTTCCTCATATTAAATTAACAGTTTTCCAAACATTTGAATTTTTTTTGTCAAATATTTAACACGCCTAGCTATTGGGCTTCCTATGGAATAATATGAAACTAGTTTTTCGTATCTCTGAGAATGGTTCTGAAATAGAATTAATCCCTAGCCCTATCCTAATCTTAACGATACCTAATCCTGGCCCTGACCCTATAATCTTATCCCCTGCATAACTGAATGTCCATGAATTTGATGCCTGTAATCGCTATTTATGTTTGCAGCTACAAGTGGACTGTTAAACTAAGCTATATCACTGGAAATGACGTGAATATTAATAATAGCACAGTTTGGATGCACAGAGCTTCAGGTATCCAAATTCAAGTAAATTTAAATTAAATTATTTTTACTTTCATTGCATTCAAAGCAAACGTTGTTTTAGAAATGAGGGGATGAAGTTGTAAAACGTTTTGTGAAAGCATTAATAATTCATGAAGAAAACACAAAAGAAATCATGAGCGTGAAGGAGTTTGCATATATCTGATACAGAATCATGCTGCTTTACATAAACTTTAAGTTTAATTTTCTCTCCAAATATCATTCACTTATTTTAAATTGTTGAAGAATACAAATGTTCTCATCAAAACGTTTCACAAGCGTTTTACAGCATTCGCGTCCGTGTGTTGTATTGGTTAAAACACGGCTGCTCATGCTCTAAATAGTACATTTAAAGTGAATCGCAAAATCTTGAATTTTTAAATGCAAGAAGTTCATTACATTGACATTGATCAACATTTCTCTCAGCGAACACTGAAAATGCTCTTCCGAAACGCAAACTTTTTCTGGGGGAGCATGCCCCTTGGGTTGAGCCCCCCCCCCTTCCCGAATACTGGTCAACTGTTAGCTTCTTCGAAGTTACAGTACGAAAATTTATGCATTAAAGTTGAAGCATGAAGTACAGTAGGTACTTAGTCTTAGCTGTTGAAAACTTGTAGAAGTTATCTGGAAGAAATGTTGATGTGACATTTTTCAGAAAATCGCCCGTATTCTAAAAGCTCACTCACACTCACTCATACTCAATGGATGGAAGTTCAATCTGAGCTTCTTTCGAGTGTCATTGCTGTTTTTGAATAGCTGGAGGGTTAGTGTCGGTACCTTAATATGTGACTATACTCACCCTCCAGTTATTCAAAAACAGCATTGACACCCAAGAGAAACTCAGATTGAACTTCCACTCATTGAGTGTGAGTGAGCTTTTAGTATACGGGCGAATATCTTTTTTGATGGTCTAGATGGGAGGGGTACCTAAAAATCAGTGAACGGTAAAAATGTTGGTATTTTAACAGTAAAAGTTTTGTATTTTAACGGCAAATCTTTGACAAGTGTTCTGAAACGATAAACAGTATTTTTCCTCACGTTTCACAGTAACCAAAATTGACGGTAACCAAAATTGAGTGAATCACACCTCACGATATACCCCATCAACGCCCTTCTTTTGTTTTGCGCTTTCTAGCTACGTTTGACTGGCCTGACGATACATGGATCAAAGCGAACCATGAACAGTATGGTTATTACAGAGTGAATTACGAACGAGATAATTGGGAAAAATTAGCTCAAGTTTTAAAAGACAACCCCACGGTATTTATTATTAAGTAAATAGACGGACGGCCAGAATCTGAAAATGTACAACAATTACCATTTTCGGCCCAAATGTGGTAACAATTTCCGCACGCAATACAAAAGTATACAGAATTTGCGAACTTTGCAAGGTTATATTTTCCGCATTTAACAACATTTCGCAACCAAACTTTACTATTGCAATTTTACTAATTTTAGTATGCTCTTTCCGGGAATGTTTTTGTTTTTCAAGATATAAAATTAGTCTATAATGGGAATTGTCTACTGGACTCTGTAGCTCAGCTGGTGAGAGCGCTGCACCGAAATCGCAGGCCCGCATGTTAGATTCCTGCCTATAGTTGCATTTTTTTCAGCTTTTTCTGGTTAGGTCTAAAAATTGTATAAAATCTTCGGCTTAAAATTTCCAAAGTGTACTTTTCTGTATTTATTTATGTTATTCATGTCTGGAATGACAGAAAAGGAAGTATATATATATATAATATAATGATTGCTCAGTTTTCTCCCATATATGTGTGAAATATGTATTGAAAATGTCCTCAATCATCGCGCTAAAAGCAAATCTCCTGCAAAATCCAGGATACCGAAATGCCAGGTCTGAGTTGGTATACGCCTTTTGCACAGTATTTTGTTCATAAAAATTATTTATCACCAATATGTTGATGTCATTTGTTATTATAGAGACTGCTTTCTTCTGACAGAACTAGTTTGATTGACGATGCATTTAACTTAGCAAGGTCAGTGTAATCTACGCATACGGTGGGACGAAATTAAAGCCCGCCGCACACGAGCGCACTTGTCGCGCGTACTTGTTATTCGTGACAAGTTGGATCGACAAAATTTCCTCGTGTGCGGACAACATTTACGGCATTTTCGTCATTCGTGACATGTAAACCAAATATCAAACATGTTTGATATTTTTCGTCATTCGTGACAAAAAAATTCTCGTGTGCGGCGAGCAAACGACAAGCGCACCTGAATAGGATAATTTGCGCATGCGTGCAACTTGCAGAATTAAAAACAACATGGCGGATCAAGACCACGAGCTCGTGTCTTGTTTTTGATTCTGCAAGTTGCACGTATGCGCAAATTTTCCTATCCAGGCGCGCTTGTCGTTTGCTTGCCGCACACGAGAATTTTTTTGTCACGAATGACGAAAAATATCAAACATGTTTGATATTTGGTTTACATCAATACATGTCACGAATGACGAAAATGCCGTAAATGTTGTCCGCACACGAGGGAATTTTGTCGATCCAACTTGTCACGAATAACAAGTACGCGCGACAAGTGCACTCGTGTGCGGCGGGCTTAAGAAATGTAGCTCATGGACGTTCTTGCAATGTCAACATTTCTGTCAATAATTAGTTTCCGCGCGGTCGAGTCGCTGTAAATTACTGAGAAAATATATTCCCTATATATTCGAAAATATATTGGATTCTCTGAATTGGGTTGTTTCGGGGATGCGGTGATATTCGAATGTTTCAAGTATACGTAATTTCGAGTGCAATTTTGGAAAGAATTAGACGAGTATGTTTTTCAAAGACGATCACAATTGCACGAGTCCGAAGGACGAATTGCCCGTATGTGCGTGTTCAAAGGCACCCAATTTAAATAATTATTATTATTATTATCATCCTGGATTCGTTTTAGTCTTTCTTGCCACTAATATCAAGGTCAAATTATCATGCTTGTAAATGTAAATGTATAAATACACATGCATATTATGTTAATTAGTAACAACATAAATCATTGCATTTTTTGGGCTTCCGTGGTGCAATCATCGGAGAAAGCGCCTTTTACCTCTAAGCTCGTGGGTTCCATTCTCGTTCCGGACTCAAAACATTTATGTGTAAAAAGGCCGTCAACGCTACGCACCAAAAGCTGTGGGTTTTTTCCGGGTATTCCGGTTTCTCCCATACAAGGGTGGGTTGGGATTAGGCCCTAACTAATCCTTCCACCGTAGCTGCATGTGCTCCGATGATAATAGGAAGCTTTAGATTTGACTACGAGTACGAGTACGAGATTTGATCGCGTGCGAGGAAATCAACGTAGTCGTTTTCGTTTCCATTCAAATGTTGCTTTTATAGCAGTAAACCAACAACGAGAGAAAAAGTTTCATAAACTAAATGTCCTACAGACTAAAATCCCCTACAAAACGTGTAATTAATAAAGTCTTAACATTAAAAACAGGCCAGATATTTAGTACTAATTTATTATTTGCGCCGGATAAACGCTATATAAATGCTACAAATTATTTTTGGAAAACAAAAAAGGCCAACTTTATTTGCTTTTTTGAAAAGTCGTCGTGAGGACTACGAGATTTCTCCACAATTTCGCACTACTACTTTTTCGCGTCAGTCCGGGATGGCGTAAGCATACAGCATGCGTTTCGCTTGACGAATCTCGTACTCGCAGTCGTAGTCGAATCTAAAGCTCCCTAATGTGATATATTAAATAAGGACAGATGTGTAACTTCAGTAAAAAAGTTGTCCCATGTTCGCCATCTTCCTAGCAAGTGTCGCTCGCGTGATTATTCGTCATTTGATAGTACGTCATTGCCTTCAAAAATGTTTTCAACACCTTTTCTACAACTTTAATTGCTTTTAACAACTTTAAACATTCAACAAATGATGCTCTTGATTGTTTAATCCATAAATTTCGATCCAAGAAAGCCGCAATAAAATGCAAAAGTTCAAGTTTTCCAGGACGCCATCTTCCTAGCAAGTGTCATGGCGTGAGCATGACGTGTACATCTAGGGAAATTTGAGGACACGAAGTCCTATTAAGTTACACATCTGGTATATACTTCATCTGTGCTAATGTGGCTGCCACAGGCGCCCTTAGAAAGCCTTCGACTCCATCAGGTTGAGCTGCTTCCTTCGCAATTCAGCTTACGTCTCAGCTGTAAGTAAGGATGACTATCACACCCCCACTCACTTACACTATAATTCACTTGCACATTTACCAATTTCAGGGCTGGCCAGTTGGATTATGACATTGCTCTTAATCTGTCATCGTATGTAAAGAACGAGAATAAATATGTTCCGTGGAGAGCCTTTATGACGGCCATAGGTTTTGTTAATACAATGTTGAGTACTCAGGATTCCTATGGCATGTTTCAAGTAAGGAACCAGACATAGTTAATGCTGATTAAATATATCGCAGGCTCAAGCGGTATCGAAATTACCAATGCTTTTTGCAATTATCGAAAGTGTCGATACTTCTTCCACACATATACATGTAGACACGCACAAGTTGTTACAAGTCTGCAAACAAATTGTTACGAGTCTGTTCACAAACTGTCGACAAGTTGTGTTCGCACTGCTTGTTCCAAGTTGTTTTAACAAGTTCGACACGAGCTGTTAACAACTTGTAACAAGTTTGATGGCATTATCAGGTTGTTTTAACAAATCTAGCATGATGTAACCAGAATGTTACAAGGTGGACGGCACAAGGTTGTAACAATATTGTTATATCATGACTGTATCGGACTTGTTGGAACAACCTTACAACAAATCTGATCATTTCAACAAGGTTGTTACAAGTTGTTCACAGCTTATTCAAAACTTGTTGACAACTTCGGACAAGCAGTGCGAACACAACTTGTTGACGGCTTGTTGGCAGACTTCTAGATTTGAGACTTTTCCGTGCATTGTAGTATCGATTGTATCAATATGTTGTATTGGTATCGGCCAATCCCTCCAACTGTGAAAGTGTGACAAAGGCTGTAATCACTTGCAAAACATACATGTCTAGCATCAACCAGGAAAATATAAATCTAATCAAGCTGCATGTACATTTTGTCTTTGATTATTTCTTTAGACATATATGCTTAACATCTTAAACGAGACACAAATTGAAAAGGTCGGATGGAAAAACGTCAATGGTACTGACAGACATTTAGAAGTGTAAGTATTGGCAGTTGCTGTCATTCGGACATGTTCGAGAAGGAAGATCGATATAATAGCGAGCATAATTAAGCATGTAGGACGGCAACACGACGACTACGGCCAAAACAAATTCCTTCAAGTAAATTATAGTAAAGAAAACTTGTTGTATATTATAATTCGTATGAATTTAATACAGTATAAGAAGTTAAAAACATTGGCTTTATGTTTGGGACGAGTTCTACTGAACCGAATTTCAAGTTGCACTTGTGACGATTTGAAATGCAGGCGTTGTATAAAAGACGTGAACATCTGTGATTTGCCGTTGTAAACAGCGCGACTACTAGGCTATATATATACGTTTGAAACTCCCCTGGGACTTTAATTATTTACATCTTTTCATTGACTCATTGTACACTCGTTGCCGTCGTGTTGCGTCCTACGTGCTTAAGCTCCCTATTTGGGGGTGAGGGGGGCTCATATTCATATATTCGTGTTCTGCATTTCTCACTTCTTTTGAAATCGATTGTTTTTACGGTCTGTAAACATAAACATAAATATATGAATATGAGCCCCCCCCCCCAATTATCGATCTTCCTACGGCCCTGGAAGTGGAGATACAGTTCGTGCACTACACCTTACTATTAAGTCTGCTTACTAAGTCTGCTGCTGTTGGTCAAGGGGGGTGAGGTTAAGGGGTGTGACATGTAAGTTGAATTGTAGTTGCTGCAGTCCTCACTATTTTCGGCGGCAAACAGGAATAACAAATCTAATTAAAATAAACTGTCGAGCATTGTGATTGGATAAAAAACACTGCGACGAGCTTGAGAGTTGACTCTTGCGACGACCAGGGACGTCGCGAAGCCATCAACATTGGGGTGTCGTCACGTTTTGACCAACATTTCCTAGGATTTTGACCAAGTCGTACGAATCTTTCCCGAAAATTTTGTCGACGGGGGGGGAGGGGGAGGTCAAAAACATTTTCCGGACTAAAATAAGCGTAGTCGAAAAAATTTTTCCCCACTAACATAAGCATTTTCTAATTTTTTCGACCAAGATAAGCAATTTTTCACCGCAAACATAACAAAAGCTTTAAAATTGTTAAATTTGCGAACCATTTCATAACTTTGAGCAACTTCGACCTTCTTTTATCCCAAACTTTGACCAAATTTTTCCGAGTTTTTGCCTTCAATTTTAAGCAAATATCAATTCCATTTTGACCAACTTTGACCAACGTTTGAATCATTTGGGGGTATTACATCCCCCCCCCCCACCACACACACACCCTATAGCGACGTCCCTGGCGACGAGTGGAAAGGAGACTTAATCTGGCTTTTACTTTTTCGACCATTTTGTTAATTTTGTTCTTTTAACGAGAATCTCCATTCAATTTGCTCTAGATACATGCGCAGTTTGATATTGAGTGCTGCATGTTCCTATGGACACGAACCATCTATTAAGAATGTGAAAAAGTTGTTCATGGAATATCTTGACAAGTAAGTAGAAATCTGATAAAGTACTGTAAACTATATAGATTATATTAAATATAGATCCGTCCATGCGAAGATATGATAATGCGAGGACTTGAAATCTAGTTCAATCCGAATTGGAGGATTTGAAATGACATCTCGTATAAATAGATCACCACTTAAAATGAATCAACTAATTTGCAATCCAGTCCAAGGACTGAATTAATTTTGACACGTACAGTCCTAGGACTGGGTCAATACACTTCACCAGGTATGCAGTATTATCATGTGAGCAAAATAGAGCAACATGGTTGACTCATGAGTTATTAACGTATTTGAGATACCTGCTTCACGAGTGGTACCCGGATCATACCAGCAGCTCCCTTGCAACTCTGGACCGAGGACCAAGAAGCTGCCAGTTCGCCCCTAAGTACAGATAATTAGGACTATATAGCAATTAACGTTGTCTCGACATTGTATTACTTAGCAATGCCACTCTAGATGTGGATTTGAAAAGTTTGATCTATTACCATGGTATTGCAAACACTGGCTACAAAGAGTGGGACAGATTATTCAAGAGGTATAGCAGTACAACAGCCGCCTCAGAAAAGAGTAAATTACTTTATGGCTTGGGAGGATCGAAAGAACCTTGGGTTTTGCGAAGGTGAGTAAGGCTTGTGTATTTTTGAGTGTTTGGGCCTGTTCATATGAGCCAGCTAACCAGGAAACTCACGCAGAGTGAGATCTGCCCATACATATCTTATATACACTAGATAGCGCATCTCTTTTAGTAAAATTGAAGCCAAGAATGTTCCAGCGGTTATCCCCATTTTGTACAAATGAATCTTTAATTATGGTATTTGTACAACATAATATAACAGTTTTCAAAGCGTCGACGTTGTGACTCGACGTTGTGACTCATTTACAGTGGATTTACCGAGGGTGCTAACAGTCTGACCTCAGCTACATACAGTGTAGTTTTCCTCATTGCGCCTAAAAAATACCTGTGGCTGTGGTTCCGGTTTCATATCGCGAAAAAATGTACAGCTAAAGTTCTTCACGGTTTTGAATACTTTGGCAGGTCTGCTAGTTATTGCTAGAAGGAAAATGTAAGTACGCGAATAGCAAATTTCTGCGTACCTACGTGGTACTTGCCTAAAAACAAGGAAGTACCAGACCATAAATTTGGCGTACCCCCTGTACGTTGGTACGCGAATTATCGCACCCTGGCCATATGAGAAACAAGGCAGCACAAATCTTTACTTTCGTCTTCTAGGTTCTTACGGTATTCTATTGACGGAGAGAAGATTCGTGACCAGGACACTGTGACCGTTGTGGGTTATGTAGCAAGAAATGCCGTTGGTCGAGATCTGGCGTGGAAATTTTTGAAAGAAAATTGGAGCATCTTTCTCAAGAGGTATTCGTTGAGAAAATAAGTAGAATAACATGCAGCAAACATCAAAAAGGTATTCGGAAATGATCACGTTTGCAATTACTTAAACAGCATACCCCCAAATACCGTAAACCTCCAACAGTATTAGGCAGCCCCCTCCCCCCCCCCCCGAATATAAGCCCACCACATATACTAACGCTCACCTCATCGTCCATGTATTAGCCCCCCGTATATAAGCTCTCCCTTGTATAAGCCCATCAAAAATCGCCGCTTACGAAAGTATATAAGCCCAGGGCTTATAGTCGGAGGTTTACGGTATTTTGTATCCCCCCACCCCTAAAAAGTTTTCCCACCCCACAAAAAGATGCTTTTTGGGATAAATGACAATGGTGTGATTGAAACAAAGATTTTGAACTAAGTAAGACTAAAAACAAGGATTTTGATAGTTCAAAAGACCAAAAATGTCAAAATTTCCTGGGGGACTTCGTCCCCTTACCCCGGTTAGCAATTGTGCCCCCAAACCCCCGCTGCAGTTCGTTCGGCGGGGCTATGCGCCCCGTAACTCGCCTCCTCCCTAAATTTTCGTCTATGACACGTACTGTATCAACCGAAGTACTTATTGCCTCAAGTTCAACTTATTCATTCAAGTTGAATTAACACAAGAAAATAATTTTAACATTCCTTTCATTCACAATAAGGACCGGTTATTATTTATGGCGGGGGAGACACCGAAGAGAAAAGGGTTGGGTAAAGAAAATTTTTGAGTGAGCAAAAGGTTGGATAAATGAAAAATAAAACAACTCCAGGGTTGGGTAATAAAAATTTATTCTCATTTCCGAAGCATGACTCACTCAAATATTGAAGATTAAAAAGCAATGCCAACACTCATATGTCAATACAATATGTAAATCAATCAATCAGAGTCACAACTGAATGGTATCCTTTTTGGTCAGGTGTAAGTATTTGTTTTTTAATTGATATTTGAGGTTGGGTAAAAAATTGACTTTTTAATTGTTGGATCAGCAAGTTTTTACCAAGAAAAACATTTTTGTTTCGGTTGTTATACCCCCGCCATAAATAATTATCGTTCGCGGTCCATAATAGATCGAAAAATTATTTTGTCTTTGCCATGTGTAATGCATTTAATTATACCTAATTGGCGTAAAATAGATATAAATTTTAAATTAAATTTTTTACATGTTACATTTTTATATACTTTGATATAATATACTTTGATATTATAAATATTTTAAGTTGATACTGTTTCTTAAACATTACGTAATTCAGCTGTGAAGCTGCGAGGTATTTTAAATAAAACAGTTCAGCCTTTTGATTGGTGATTTTAAGGCGCATTTCATCCCTTTTAATTGAAATCGCTCTAGGAAAATCAATTATGCATAATTCAAAATCTGTCAAACTCGATGTTAAAAGTTTTTAACAATAAAAATGTTTTAAAATGTTAAAAACATTGAGTTACTCATCTTGAATTATGTATATTGCATAATTGATTTTCCTAGTTAGTTTTTTCAAAAAGGGCTGAAATGCACCTTAAAAACCATCTTTCAAAAGGCTGAACTGTGCTTTAAATGTTGCTAAATGTGACATTATACTTGATTGTTTTAGATACGGCAAAAGTAGTTTCCGAATGGCAAGTGTAATCACGTCCACAACATCCATGATGAACACGAAGCTTGAACTGGAAGATGTAGGTTTTGTTTTGTCTTTTGTTTAAGAGTTCAATTTTTTCACTTGTTGCCTGGTGGGATACATGGCGTTTATCTAAATCCACGTGATCAAAAATCAGCCAATCACGTCTAGTTTAGGTTATAACATCATTATATATTTAAAAGATTCATGGTTTCGATTGGGTAACAGCCAACTGTGAAATCGTCATGTCAACTCAATAACGGACCAAATATGGAGTTTTGACATAATATTCAACAAAGTGATGTCATAATGTTGATATGATAAAATTATATTCACCGTTATGACGTCATACTGTATACGAAAACGAAATTTGGAAACACGGGCCAAAACAATATGGCAGCGCCTTCGCCCGTATTTGCCGGTTTAATTAAAGAAAACAACTTAAACAGCCAAACAGCCACAACATTTGAAATTAGCACTGATGAAGATCCGGGCTTACGGATCGAAAACTTTGCAGTAATAAATTTACGTGGTGTTACCACAAACAAAACTATTATATGTTTTATCGCCATGCAAACCTACAAATTAAGAACTCATGTACAAAAAGTTTTGAAACAGCTTGCGGACATACATTGTACTTATGAAAGAAAAAAGGAAAGATTTTCTGCAAATGTGCAGGTTTCGCTCGTATTCATCTTTTAAATAAATAATAAAATTTAAAAAATTATTGAATTCAGTTTTCGCAAGATATGAGAATTATCAACCCTCAGTTTGTGTTACGACCCTCAGCCTTCGGCTTTGTTGATAACACAAACTTTGGGCTTCATGCTCAAACCGCATTCAATAATTGGTTAATGTTCATAATAATTAGGGACCGCGGAAGCTGGTTTTGACAGGAGAAAGTAGGTTGAATCTTCTACAGTGTCGCAGTTTTACCCGTGCCTACGTGATTTTCAAAGCAGAGTAAGGCCTGTTTCAAACGTCGCGCTTCTCATGTGCTGAACGCAGGGTCGCCGGAACTGGGGGGGGGGCAGGAGGGGCAGCCATCCCCGTTGCCCTTTACCAGGAGGGGCAAGGGGGGCAAAGGTGCTCTTTCAATTTAAAGGATTACTTTGGCGAAATAGCGAATAGTCAGAAATGTTGGTGCAATTCTTTTACGAATTTGCATCAGAAAACGCAAGAAATGCAGTCATCGAGCTTCAAGAATAGCACAATCGCCTGGCGGAGAATCCCCTCACACCCCTATCATCCAATAAATAGAAAACATGATTAGGCGAAGTTCAACTCCTCTTAGTGTATATATATATATATATATATATATATATATATATATATATATATATATATATATATATATATATATATATATATATATATATATATATATATCAATTCAAAAGTGCCCTCTCACGAAAATCTGCCCCTTGCCTTCACATCGTTCCGGCGTCCCTGGCTGAACGCATTAGAAACAGTAGACAATGAGGCATTTCAGCTGATTATCTATTGTTTTAATGCGTTCGGCATATGAGAAGCGCGACGTTTGAAACAGGCCTAACGCTCGACTATTTAAATGTGTTAATTATTCTTTTACAATACCATAAACATCTGCAAGAATCGTTACTAATTCTTCAGTTAGACATGTGTTCCACAGGAATATATCTGCCTAACATTGGGAAATATACACATGGTTACCTAAATTATTGTGGGGAAAGAAGTGCCGGGAAATTCACCTTCCGAGCTAGTTGTAATTGTGAAGGACGCAGCTCAACCTGATCCAGTGGAAGGCTTGCTAAGGGCGCCTCTGGCAGCCACCTTATGACTCATGTCTGATCACGGAGCACAACTACGATGGAAGGGTCAGTTAGGGGGCTAATCCAGCGACGCCGGGACGATAAAAAGGCAAGGGGGGGGGGGCAAACGCACACCAAAGGGCACCTCGACAGACTCCGGTCAAGATATAAACCTATAATTGTGTGTTGACTTGCCAATCTATGAAAGCAAACGCACTTAATCAGGTCACATTCAAGATCACACCTCATTATTTTGCCCAAACAGCATCACTGGAAATGTGATTTATCAGGTAGTATTTCATAACTCAAAGGGCACTTCTGCCCCCCTTGCCCCTCCTATAGCAAAAGGCAAGAGGGGCAGCTGCCCCTCCTGGCCCCCAGTTCTGGCGTCCCTGCTCTAATCTAACCCATCCTGTCAACTTTCCCTGTGGGAGGAAACTGGAGCATCCGGAGAAAACCCACGACTTTCTGTAGAGCGTTGACTAACTCTTTTCACATGAGTCTCATTAGTCCGATGTGAAGATCCAACCCACGATCTCAGAGGTGAAAGGCGCTAGCTTGCTCTGACGATCGCGCAACCGGAAGCTCCTTTTCTTCAATTAATACGTAACATTCGTCTACTTCTTTCTCCCTAGGTCAAAGCGTTCTTCGAAGGCAGAGACGCAGGATCTGGTGAAAGAGCCGTAAAACAAGCTATTGAACGTATTCAGACGAACGTCGAGTGGGTGGAAAGAAGTGCTCAATCTATAGCCGACTATTTGAAAAAAGTTACTTAAATTAAGGTAACTTGATCAGATCATTGGATAACTCCAGCTATAGACTAAATTTTGATCCAGACAAGAAAAACAAAATCCATCACCACAGCAAGAAAGAGCATGTTAAAATTAGTAAAATTGCAAAGTTTGGCCGCGAAATGTTGTAAAATGCGGAACATATAGCCCTGCGAAATTTGTAAATTTTGTATTAATTTGTGTTACGCGCGAGAAAATGCACCACATTTGGGCCGAAAGTGGTGCATTTTCCCGTGCGTAATACAAATTAATACAAAATTTGCAAATTTCTTAGGGCTATATTTTCCGTATTTTACAACATTTCGCAAGCAAACTTTGCAATTTTACTAATTTTACCATGCTCTTTCTAGCTCTGGTGATATACAATTACTTTATGGTTTTCGTGTTCGGATGGCCTGATCCAAACGCGCGGGAATGTTGCGAGAGTTAAGAAAAGCGAGTGAAATCACGAGCCGAAGGCAAATGATTTTGCCCGCTTTTCTTAACTCGAGCAACATTCCCAAGTGTTTGGATCAGGCCATCCAAACAAGAAAACCATAAAGTAATTGTTTTATAAAATAACAACAACACGATAGTCTTCCGTGTTTGGATGGCCTGATCCAAACACGGGTTTCGACCAATCAGAACACGCGTTATATACATGTTATTTTATAATGGATTTTGTTCTTTTTGCCGAGATCCAAATTTATAGTCTATAGCTGCAATCATTTATTACAGTCGAAACCCTATTAACGGACACCTTAAGCGGGCATACACCTCCAGTCCCAATGATTTCTTTAATAAAATACTAATATCATTACTCCTATTCAGCGGTCACGTACATCTACTGAGCGGAAGCGGGCACTTAACTTGCGGTCCCAATGAGCGGGATAACACCTCTCTTAATTAAGCGGACAAACGAAATGAGGAATGTAAATATGCAAATTAAATTTTCATGACAATCCATGGTAAAAATCAATTTGAAGAAAATTCACTAGACCCATATTTGTTATTAATGTTTTGTAATATTTCCATGTGGTATAAACGTTAATAACTTGAACTAATGAAGTAATCTCCTAAAACAAACCTTTCTTTAATTCGTTTTTAAGCAATTGCAAAAACTCTCTTCGAAACTTGACTCGCAGGGAAGTTCCACACCATAACCAGCCCCTCCGTTGACATGTTTACCTTTTGATTACGATTAAGATATAGTTCGCCAACTATTTTGTTTTGTTTTTTTCTGTGTTGGTGTTATGTACTAGGTGAATATTAGGGAAAGTACTAGGGAAAGTTATTTTTCAGTCGTATATTTTATAACATTATGTCATTCTTTGTCTGTCTGGCTGCAATCGGCGAAAATTTGATAAAAATTGGATAAAAATTCGCAGAGTAATGGTAGATGTTCTGAAACGCGCGCCTAGGATATCCTGTATATAACTTTAATCAATGAACAAACTATGTTTCATCTCTTTTATTTCAGGAACGAAGCAAGAGTACATTATATGTACGGTATAGTTGCTTTGAATAACGTTTTTTATAGATTAGCTAATAGTGTCTTCGTGTATGTACGATAAGATATATAATCAACGTAGCAACTGTCTGTAATTATACTTTTGTCAGTTTTTGTTAATATTAAATAGAAGTAATTAAAGAATGCAATCTTCAAAAGATCTGGAAGCTTCCCTGTTTTTCTTTAGCTTAATCCCTTGTAGAGGATTCTTTCCTGGCCGTAACGTCCTTGCTAAGTGGTTATATAACCAGAGCCCCTGATTATCTAGAATGGTATGATTAATGTAACCATAGTGAATAGAAGATATGTCATACGGTTTGGAAATTAAGTCATTAGAATAAAAATATAACTCAGTTTTGTGGATGAAAATTCCGAGCGCAATAAGCGACTTACCCTTTATGATCAATTGCTAGTTCTTTCGACCAGATGGCCAAAAATCTCGATCTAACAACTCATCATCTATGTTAGCAACTTTAAAAAAAAGGTCATCAAGTTTAGATTAATGTCACATTGATGTTAGATTAGCGTTAGATTAAGATTAGATTAGGGTGAGAGGTACTTGATTATCATCTGTTTGTGCACTTTTGACAATTGATGCTATTCATCTATTTATCTGCTATGTGTAGTAGTTTAGTATATATTGCACGGTTTAACTTGTTTTTAAACGATCTTTGGTAGAGGGTGGGTTTTCTAAAATTTTTGTGCACGCTTTTTAAAGGTGGCTTACAGTCCCTTCTGCGCGTGTCTGTGATTGTTTTTGCCTGGGGATTCCAGCAATACAATTTTCAGAAATACAATT